AAATGGTCTACAATTACATGTAAAAATGTGGACGAATTCCACAACAAGTGTATAAAGTTTGTATACAGTTCAAAACTCATCAATAGTGTTTCAAGTAGGGACTGTGCTTACCCCGGGGGGATAGAAACAGCGTGGGACATGCAGGGACTTCTAGGGGCTTGATCTGTTCTATTTCTTGATCTATGTGCTGGTGACATGGATGTGTTCACCGTGTGAAAAGCCACTGAGCTATATCCTATGATCTGTACATTTTTTTATGTGTGTGCTAAACTGCAATAAAAGTTTTTAAAAAGTGTCCTATGGACACATGAGAAAATGCATTTAATGGCATATGTGCAATTTAGCCCCTACATTATTAAGTGGCTTCTTTGAAGTAGAAGCCCTGCCTGTAACCACTAGGTCAGACATTCCTGGAGATGGGTGGTGTCCCAAGGGAGTGGCTATCAGAAACACCTGCTATTACTTCATTCTTCCTCTTTTACCAGTCCCACCCTAAAACCTGCCGGTTCCTGGTGGAACACTCCAATATCAGCTTTTCCCCTCATCACCACTGACATTGTTGAGCATCATCCAGAATTATCATTAGTCACCTTCTGAATACAGGCACCGTGGTGTTAAGAAAGTACAAAAAGTAGGACCTGCCTGGGGGGTTGGTTGTGAATATGTCTATATAAAATGTACACCCCACATATTTAATACATATTTATTTAAACCATGTACATGTGGTTTACATATGTATTTTGCAAATATATGGTCATGGAGGATACGCTAGTTGTCAAAAAGGTGGTATAAATACCAAGTGTTAACTTGGATTTAGATGCAGCTGGGGCACCGGAGAAAGTCTCAAGGGAGACCTAATCTTTTAAAAAGGTGGGAACAGAGACATCTGGGTGTCATGTGACCCCTATGTGATGCAGCATGGAGAACACATTGCCTGGAATAGATTCTTGTCATAATTCTTAATTTATCAAGGCCTTAGAACTAACTTCCAGGTTACGAGAAATAGAGGTTGGAGAAATAAGATCAGTGACACCATGAGCACTGATCAGATGAAGCCATCATGCAGGCCATTCTGCAGAATGAGAGGCTAGGTTCCTTTCAAGCAGTCAGGGAAAGAAAAAAGGGCTCTTTTCTAGGTAAAAAGAGAAGTGAGGATACAGTCACCGCAAACGCTGACTGTTGCTGGAGAAGATTCTGGTTTGGATAATCAGCTGCAAAGGCCATTCCTGAAACAAAGAGATGGAGGACTGCCAGGGTAGGCAAGGGCAAGGACAGGCCAAGGGTATGAGGAACAAGGAGCAGGAGTGGGCAGGGGTGTGGGGCAGGGAAGGGAGGGCAAAGAGGGTAGTTGGGGGCAGGGGATAGGACAGAGCAAGAGCAATGCTAGGCAAGGCAGGGCAAGCGAGTTGGTGGCAGCAGCAGCAGCCTCAGTGGCTGGTGATGGCAGCAGCAATTCTGCAGGCCCAGAGGCCTTGTGAAAAATCAGCCTCCTCACTGGGTCTTCAGGGTTGGGCAGCCTCAATCTTACCCTGAACTCCTGACTCCCACCCAACTCCACAACAGCCAGCTCAGCTTGGGGTCTCTCCTCCTAGTCTTTCCCATCCTCTAGAAATAGAGAGCCTGGCCTTCATCTCACTGGCCGACATGTTCCTGAGTGCCTGGCTGCTCTGCTGTGTGGTCCCTGGACTCATTCTTGCTTCCATCGGGTCCTGCCACCTCCCTAGAGTGACCCTGGAGTCCTCCTCTCCCCACCAGGAGAGCCGCCAAAGTCCCGCTGAGGGCCACAACTCCTGCCAGCATAGCCACATCTTTCCTCTTCTATCCCGCCCGCCTCATGGTCCTTTTATCTGCCTACTCCCTTCTTCCTTCTGCCACCTTCTTGCTCTTACTAGCCAGTAACCTTGACAATGACATAATGTCTCTGTGCCTCAGTTTCCACAGCTATAACAGGCATAACAACAGTACCTACTTCACTGAGGTATTGCAAGGATGAAGTCAATGCGAAGTTTGAATTGCTGAGCCCAGCACCCACACAAAGCACCTGCTAGGTGTCCACAGTCGTCACTACGTCCCCCTCTGTGCCCTAAGCTTGCCAGAGCTCATGGGCAGAGCCTACCCCAGCCCAAGACACCTGGTCAGTCTAAGGTTTAATGAATGACCCAGGGAGAGGAGCCCTGGAGACCATGAGCAGGAGCCCAAACTTGAGGAATGTACAAGTCTTTCTATGTCCTGGGGTGGGAGGCATGGGGAGGGGAGTAATGCCTCGAGAACAGAAGCTCTGGAGTCTGCACTGGGTAATTTGGGCTGAAACATCACCTTGTTTATGGGACAAAGTTCTCATGAGCTTTATGACTCTGTGGAAAATACTTTGGAGTATAAATCTCTATTTAAGAGTCATGACTGGTGCCTTTCCAGATGGCAAACAGCTTAAAGATGTGCTTCTAGCTCTGCCAGATTTATTTGTAAGGACACTAATTATCTCATTAGAAATAGGTTCCTCTTATGATTATGATTAGCTTGCCATTTTTTTTCTTAATTCTGGGAAAAGAACACACACATATTTCACCCCGGCCAACGGAAACCTTGAACTTTTCCAGAGCAGAAACTCCCTAACCCAGTAAGCATTACTCCCAGTCACACTCTCCCTCCCAAAAGACATATAAAGGGTGAAATTGTGTTTAAAATCAGAGTGGGTTTCAATTCATTTTGTTCTGAGAATTTTGCAGCCCTCCCTGACATAGATACGAACAGCTATGGTGGAGCTTTAAGATATGGGCTGCATACAGGAAGATGCCTGGGCCCTGTGGAGGACTTCATCGTTGCACTTGCCAGGGGAAATTTCATGTTCTGTCTTAAGGGCAGGAAGAATGAATTTAATGCGGTTAAAGCCAAGGGAGGCTATAACAGTATTTCAAACACTCAAGTCAAATCTGAAGAAAAAGCTGTCTAAGTTGTCTGTGTTTCTGGACTCCAGGTTGAAGAGTGGTGTGACGGGGAGTAAAGGGGGCTAACTCAGCCCTGATCGCCAAACCATGATGGTAGAGGAACAGTAAATGGGTTTGTGAACGTTCCAGGTGTTCTTTCTTGGGGGTCTTAGGGCCCCTGACATGCTCAGGCAGTGGGGTCAAAGAGAAAACCTTCCTTTTGATGCCCTAGTTTTCCTAAGAGGGGAAGAAATTCCAAGTGGCCACCTGCGTATCCACTATCTCCAGCACCTCCCTATACACCTTCAACAACTAACCATCAGTTTCCTAGGGAGGAATTTGTAAAACTATGCACGGCCACAGAGAGCATCTATGGGCACCGAGAGGGGATGAAAGGAGCCACTGTTGCCACAACCCAAGACGGGCAATGGGGTGTCCCTGTGGGAAACGGGGAGCCAAAGGTTCCTCCCTGGCCTCCCCTGACACTGGTAAGTCAGGCTGTAAACATCTGTCCCAAGTTGGCCCCAAGCATGTACCGCGACTGGTGTTTTATGATGCATCTCAAACCAGACTGTGACAACCCCTGGCTTTGGGGAACTTTGCAGGTACCCATGGAGGGCTTCCTTGTGTAGAGAGAAGTTACCCACCTTGCCACTAGGGCACAGAAGTAACCCTACATTAGTTGTATTAAAGACATGATATTCTAGAACTGCACTGACCAAGTGCACACTGACCAGTGACCCTAGCCACTAGCCACATAGAATTATTTAAACTTAAATTAATGAAAGTTAAATGAATTTTAAAACTCAATTATTCAGCCGCAGTATCCACATTTCAAGTGCTTAGTAGCCGCAGGCAGCTGGTGGCCGCCATACTGGACAACCCAGATACAGAACAAACACCTCCATCATCACAGGCACTTCTATTGGACAGCCCTGCTCTGGATGTATTCTTAACAAGCCAATCACCTTTCTGGTGTCATTCATGCATTCAACAAATGGTTATGGACCATTACACTATACAACGCCTGCTGCTACTATGATAACATGTCAACATTAGACAACGATACTTAGAGACTTGCATGCAAAATTAAGACCTGTCTGTGCTCTATCATGTTCTAAGGCTTTGGATGATTTAAAGTACATTCATTTAGAATTCAGAATGGTCTCATTCTCAGGATGCTTGCTGGCATTTCAAGGACTGCAAACAATGTAGAATCCAAACTCTGTTCATGACTCTGCTAATGCTTGAGAGAAAACGGCTCAACAACAACACACGGTACTGTTGACGCCCCCTGCCAGGTTTTGCTGGGATTGACAAATTTGGTGTTACGTTTCACTTAGGAATCCTGCTGACTGGCAGCCCTCAGGATACGCACGTGCTGGCACGTTGGTCCCACTCCCCAAATTGCCTCCCAGATTTGACACACCCTGGTGACTCAACTTGCCTTCTCGTTAACCCAAAGCCCTTTCTTTGTTTGACACATTTTCCCACTGTGGGCAGACTTTTCTGCCTTAGGAGAGCTGACATCAATAGTGCTATCCCATGCAGCAAACCACTAGAGACAACACATTACTGGGGAGGGTGTACCGGGTGCTGGGAGACCTGGGAACAGTGTGTGTCTCAGTGGAGCTTACAGAAACCAGGCTGTTCAATTTATTTCTCTGCTGTTAATTTCAAGGTGCTGCTACTGCTACTTCCACTGTAATAGTGTCTACAAACAATTTGCACTTTGGAATGGCACAATCCCAGGGGGTAATTAACAAATCCAGGGAACAATCTTTTTAAAAGCCTTTAAAAGCAACAGAGACTGAGGCCACCTTCGATGAAATAGAATCACTCCACTTTCTCTGTCATTTCAGAAGATACCTGGCTGACTCCTAGAGAGGTTTAGAGAGCACAGGCCCTGGGCTTTATGGAAAGTTCCTCAAGATGTGTTAATTAGAAATAAAATGCAGCATGGTTATCGGCTGCAGAGCTTTCTGAGTGAAGCAGGCTCTGAAGAGGGACTAAGATTTCAAGAGTTAGAAGCCAAGTTCACAAAGGGCCACCGAGGACTGTGAATTCCAAACATACCGTTCACCGTTCCAAGGTAGAAGATGGCGTTCACCAGCATGCCTCCTTTCCGGAAGTGGTCGCTCATGTGCTCTAACCAGTTGGCGTCCAAGCCGTTCACTGTCTGGCCATTCTTGGAGACACGGAGAGGAATGGTGACAGGGTAGTATTGCCGGCACTTCTGATGGCTTTTCGGTTTGTTGAAAAGGGTGAAGATCTCCATTTCTGTTGGGATTTGTAAAGGCAGTGGAGAGAGAAGAGGTCAACTGATGATAAAAATCTGCTTCATCGGGTTTAGTGGAATCTCTCAGGAGCCTGAATAAATGATATGATGAATGCTGAAATCTCTGTGAGGCTGTATTGCTCCAGATAATAAAGCCTCATTCCAAGGAGTAAGTTGGGGCTGGCTTAAAGTAACATGGACCTGAAAGGTTGGGCTTCTGATGGGGGACTTAGGTTTTTAATCTGGAATATAATGAATAGCTGTTATCTGGGATTAATGTGCACAGCTAGGTGTTTGAGAAAAGAACATAGCAGATGGTTCTAGAAAGTCATACAAAGATGTGTTTTAGAAATAAAAGCAGACATATTTGGGAGAGAGTGGTCTTTGAAAAAGTAAATGTACAGAGACACATAAAAACAAAAATACTGCTCTAATTCCAGGAACCTTGTACACTCCTGAACTCACTATTTATAAACTGTAGTAGTGTTTCCTGGGGCTGAACCCATAATACTTAATCAAGTACATCAAAAATACATCATTGATATGTAAAAATAAATATGTTCCCATAAATGAGAGTTCCTGCCTGGAGTGGCAGGTCAGTCCAAACAGCCAAGAAGGCACTGGGGATGAGGCACTGAGCTTTCAGCTCCTTCATTTATAGTTCAGTTCTTCAGCAATCAATAGTCACTGCCACCCAGCAGCTGAGCCGCGCCTGCCTACGTGCGGCTGGGCATGGGTTAGCAATAGCAGCCTCCAGAAGCAAATACCTGGAATTTCAATCTAAGTCTGAGAGTCTATTTTTGTGCTCCTCATTTAGTCAAGCAATCAGTTGACCCAGCTTAAAAAGTCTTGCTTACACAGGCTAGTCAGGAATATGCTTTGGTTTCCAAAAATATCTTGTTAAATCATAAGAAAATCCCCACCCTTCTTTGAAACAAGAATTTAAAGGTCATAAACAATGGTTGACATTAGCAAGAAGGACAAAGCACATTCATGCTCCCTGCATGAGACACCTGAACCCACACTCTCTGATGCTGTTTCTCAAATTTCATATCTCACAATGTTTCGTGGTATCCAAGTACTAGTTGATTTTTTTTAATGGACTCACTTTCCTTTATTTAAACAAATACTTTTTTTTTTTTTTTTTTAAAAAGGAAACTTTGTTTCATGACTGACAGCAGTCCACTACCACTTGCCAAAAACAAGGGGTGATGATAAAGCACATTAACACCAAATATGTTCATCTAACATCTAAAATTATCTCACATAGGTCACAAAGTCTTCTCACAGCCCCATCTGAGCGAACACCAGCAGAGATCTCTAGGGACAACGCTGGACCATATTACTTTGTCATCAGCAATACCTGAACGAACAGCAGCCATTTTAGGCTTTCCATCCAATAGAACAACTAGGAAAGGAAGGCGCCCATCTTTGGAAGTGGCACCTGGATTTTCAACACCAGTTCTAGCCTGTTCATCCTCCCCATCCCAAGTTGCTTTTCTCAGCCTTCCTGCTTACTCAGGAAGCCATCCCCAGCCCAGAAGTACTTCCACACCAGAAATTAGGTATTGGTGTATGGAGCTGGCAATCACTAGACTAGTTTGTGAGTCCAAAATACAAACTGTAGAAATGCAGTGACACAGAGGAGGTTCGTAATGGAGGGAATCCAGCCATAAATTGGGGCTGGGGTGGGCAGGAGGTGAACTGGATGATCGGGTGTTTTCCAGTCCTGGGTGTCACGGGTTCAATTAAAAGCTGCAGCTACCGAGGGCAAGAGGATAAGCAAGGTTTTAGTGAGTTCCTGGGTTTATTTGGATTCCTTCTAAAGCAGACCCTGTAAGCTTTCCTGTGCAAGTAGTTTATTTGGGAAGAGATCCCAGGAAAGAGGGAAGGAGTAGGAATGGAAAACAGGGAGGAGATGGAGATGATACCAATGAATGAATGCACTGAAGAGCATGTTACCGCTGGGGCAACTAGGGCTCAATCCCAACAGGGGCCCTGAGATACTATGTAAAACACACCACAGATTCACCCACCAAGGGCAAGGAACGTGGGACATTTATCCTCATAAACTGAAAGTCACTCCTGAATCATTCATTCCCCAGGGCCCATTCCCAAGAATGTCTGCAGGTAGAGAGGCTAAGGAAGCTGTGGGCTTGGCCAGAGCTGTCCAAAGGTGACCCCAACACGGGCCATAGCACCACTCGCTACAGCCTGCTACAGTCCGCTACAGTCAAGCACAAATGCAAATGAATTAAGAAGAAGAAGAAAAAAATCACAGCCTCTGTATGGGAGAAGTAGGTGGGGAATTTGGAAGTGGCCAAAGTCCAAAACTACATGGTAACACTTGATCACACAGAAGGAACTGGCACTCAATGGCAAGACAAAAACACAACTTTCCCAAATGCGTAATGAACCAGAAAAAGGGGAAGGCCAAAGGAGAAGTGAGAATGCTGGGGGTGTAGTAGAGGAAGACAGAGACCCTCAGAAAAGGTAGACAGTGCTGACAGCTTTCCCAGCTTGATCCTCCCCAGGGGGCCAGGCTGAAGCCAGAGACAGAAATAAATTTCTCAGGAAAAGGAAACAGCATTGGAACGAACAGCCTCCAAAGCATCAGCAGCAATGAAATATTGGGAGAAACCTGATTGCATATGCGTAACCCTTGTACACTCCTCTGTCCCATCATCTCCTTGTCCCCAGTCCCTTTCTCTACCCACATGGAAACCAGCCAAGAGAAACTGTCCAAAAGTGGTGTCCTTTGATGTTTTAATATTCTTATTCTCCAACACACATCCTCAAGTGAGCAAGCACCAAAGATTCCAAAAAGAAGCCCCATGTTTGTTTAAATTTTCTCAGTTGCTCTGTGACTCTGCCATGACCAGCTGGAAGATTTTTCCAGACATGGGACAGTGAGTCCCAAAGGGGTTGAGAACGTTCTGGGAGTAGCTGAAGGACTGTACTGGCAGAGCACCCAAGGAGCATCAGGACTGTCTTCTTGTCTCTCCCTTTCCCCCACCTTGTCTCATTTAGATCCCTCCTGTTATACATGTGTTGACTGTATTGACCTCTAAGCCAACCAGAGGAGAAAGCGAGGGCAGGTTAAGGCAGTGTGGGGCCCAAGGTGGGGGTGGCTGAGTCCTGCCGGCCTGGGAGCCTGGTCCATTCAGGCCTTGCCAGGCTACTAGGGAGTGGGGAGGAAAGAGGCAGGTGTCCAGCCCTGAGGTCTGTGCCTGGGCGTGGGGACTCAGGCACAGGATGGAAGGCTGCAGTTTGCCTTCAGGTGGGGCCCCAGAGAGCCCAGGTCTTGAGGGTAAGCAGGGGACTGGCTGGGCCCTGCTGTCCCAGGAGACCTGTGGTCTGGAGAGAAGAAAGAGTTTAGAGCCTCGCAGAAAATCTGGGGCTCCAAGGGCTAGATGTGGGAGGAGGAGGCAGCTGGTCGTTAGCTGCACTGGAAGGAACAAGTGGCATCACACTTGGCTGGGCAGCCCAAGCTGGGTGGGCGCTGCAGGCTGCTGAGGTCATGGGCAGAAGAGACTAAGCAGAAAGGTTTGCATTGGGAAGGGAGGCAGTGGGCACCATGGTGGCGAGGCAGGGCAGGAGGGTAGAAGGGCCCCAGGCTGCTCCATACAGATGTCTAGATCTGGGAAAGGCTGCTCAAGCTTCGCTCAGGCTTGGGTACTAATAGCAGGGCACCTCTGGGCCAGCGTGAGGCCCACTTGCCAGGGCAGCAGGAAAGACAAAGTGCAGGGACCGCTGCATGCACAACGATCCACGGGAATCCACCTCTAAGGATGACAGCAGCCACAGGCATGTATCCCTTATTTATAAGGGCCTTACGCCTTCACCATCTCATGTGACTCTCCCAACCTTGATGGGAGGGGGTGGCACTGGTTCTGGGCCCAGAAGCATTAAGTGGATCCCCCAGAAATCACAAGCCAGTAAGTGGCACAGCCAAGAGTCTTTCAAACCCCAAACCCTGGGCTCTTTCCCAAATCTAACAAGAGACTAATTTCATAGGACACAGAAGGCAGGGGCTGATGACCACGGGTGGGAGCTCAATAGCTGTTTGTTAATGGACTGAGTAAAAGGCCAGAGACATGGCGGCAGGTGGCAGATCTGGGAGGGGGCCGCATCATGGGGTCCAACTATCCCGAGGGAATGGGGAGGGAAGGAGCCCTCACATCAGGAAAGCCCAACCCCCAGGTTTTGGCCATTCACAATGAGCTGGCAGCCAGGGAGGGCTACTGAATAAAATCCACTCAGTCAGAAATGTGATTGGCATCACAGGCTGGGGTTTCTGGCTGACATTTCTAAGCATTTTAAGTGAGGAGGTACAGGGTAGGAAGAGCAGTGCTTGGAAGACTTATTATTTTGGTGACAGTGAGAATGATTAGAATTTTCGTGAACCTGTCTAGCCTCCTGGTTTCTCTGATGGAAGTTGTGGCAACGTTTGATGCTGAGGCTGTCCCTGCACGGGCTCAGGTGATCATGGCACAGCATGGACCTCCAACCAAAAGGAAATTCCCCCAGACCAGGAAACAAAAGTCAGCAAGCAGGAAGAGGAACACACGACACGCGACGGGCCTCCCCCAGAACCTGCAGGGCCAAGGAGGCGTGACGGCTGCGCAGAGCCCGCAGAGATGGGGAGACACGACCTGCCCCTGCTTCCGCACAGAGAATCCACTGGAAAGTCCTGTCTGAGCAGGCACTGCCTAGATTCCTCTCCCCAAGGCCTCCTCTAAAGGAAATAAATTAACTGAGGAGACAGAGGGAAGAGGAGGGAGACTCCCTCTGGATTTTTTTTTAATTGCCTTGCTGTGATTGCCTATTTAAGCCCACCTGGCAGAAGAGGAGTAAAAACACTTCAGCGTCCTTAGGGGGCCCGGAGAGAAGGCAAGCTGGGAGCTGAGCAGGCAGTGGGGAGGGCGCCTGGGGGCGCTGTATGTGCCTGGGGGGGAGTGATGGGGAGTGGACCTCCCGGGAGAGAGATGAGGAGAGAGGCCGGGGGTCAGGTGAGGGTCACAACCAGTGGGGACAGGGTCCCTGGACGTTCCGCCTTCAGGGAGGCCAAATGCTGAAGCTGTGATGAAGAAATTTAACTGTATGGGGGTATAAAAGGTGATGCTCCCTATTTGTAAAATGGACATAGTAATAGCATCTTCTGCCATGAAGCTTTTGTGAGGAGTAACTGAGATAACACAAGGAGGACACAGAACAGTGCACGTGGAGGGTGACTGCCATCGTGACCAGTGAAAGGCTTATATGTGAAATGATCCCTGTATGAAAAACCCAAAGGCTCATTTATTCCACCAAAGGAGGAGAAAGGGATACAGTGAGCTGCCTGAATTCCAGAGATTTGCAGCCCGAGCAGAGATAAAGGGACTGCTGCTCTACGTGTAGAGACAGGCAGTGTCTACCTGCCTAGGGAGACTGGGCTCGAAGGAGGCTTTAATCCCTTTTCGTGGCCTACCCCTGCAGAGCTGAAATTCTCATCCACTGGTGGGCTGAACACCTCCGGAAACACACGCATTCACCCCTTCCTCCCCGGCAGGGTCTGTTTCTCCAGGAGAGAACAGGGACTTAGGTGATGGGATAGGGGCCAAAATGCTTTGGGTGTCAATTTTTCTGTGTGTTCAGCCATCAGGCGAGATTCTGGGTGAGGGAGGTGAGTGGCTACAGGGTAGCAGGAAGGTCCTGGGCACCCGGGGAGGTTCCAGTGAATAATCCTCTCACAGAAGGCAGGAAGTCTGGAAGGAGTCTCGGAGGAAGGTGGGCTCTGGAACACAGGAAGGATCTGAAAACTCCTGAGGAAACCTCAGTAGTAAATGCCTCCTTTCTCAAAGCCAAGATTCCATGAGAGGTAGAGGTCAAGCGTCAGGACTACGAGCCTGTACCCCAATAATGGCAGCTCATACTCATGAGTCAAACAGTGCTGAGTGCTTTAAATGTACATCTTTAACCTTTCCATGAGAAACTATCGTTCTATCCCTATTTCACAGAGTGAGAAACTGAGGCACGGAAGGCAAGCTAGAATGTAAACAGATGCTAGATTCTTGAGCACCATGCTCCCCACCTCTTCATCACTCCTGCCCTTTCTCCTGGGGGCCTCTGCCTGGCCTGACCCTCGCCCTCCCACAGTCCTGGACTTAGAGAAGGACTCCAATGAGGTCCATCTTCCCAGCCAGGATTCAGAGCACACGCATCCAGCCCAACCTCCATGAGAAGATGGAGGTTTCTGGACTAAGACCTGGGTGTTCATGAGGAGGACACACTGAGCTTAAATGCATGTTCAGCTACTCCATGAGGGCAGCAGGCATCTGCCTCAAACAGCGAAAAATCACACAAATAAAGGGCCCTACTTCAGTGTGTAGTAAGAAGGCTCAATGCCTTGATTAAATAGTCTTACTATATCACGGAACTGAGGCAGCTCCAATATCTCCCTCTAAGTCAACTTTGCAAATAAGCCCCTGGAATTAACTATCCCATAATTTTCTTCTCAAGAAGTTCTGATGTAACAAAAGAAATTGTTTCTCCTTGTTTTCCCTTCTCAAAGCATTATCACTTGTAAGAGGCTAATTTCAAGAATCAGTAAATAAATGATAATAACAATATTAACCAGGCAGATCAGCCAGAAAGGCCTAAACAGAAAGCCCTCCTAAGCCCTGGGGGGTTGGTCTTCTGTCAGTCTTCATACTTGTTCGCCTTCCAAAGGCTAGAAGGGGCCACATGGCTCATGCAAGTACCTTGCTCTCAGGAAATGACTGGACGCTAGATTTCCTGGAGAAAGGGGGGAAGTATGGATGGTCAATTTCTGGAAGAAAGTAGAGAAAAAGGAAATACAGAGAAACAGAGGGAAACTTTGCTCCCTGTAAATCTTGTTAAGGGCCTCAGTAAATCTTGTTAGTCTATCACACAGGAAAGACCACGCAGAGAGGCGTGAAGGGATGGTGGGTAAGTCCACCTGGATTCATAGGCCCGAACTGCCTATTTCCAGACTGGACAACAGATTTCCTCTCGAAACCCCAGTTTGCTCAGCTGTAAAATGTCTTGCTTTAGGCAGGTATTTTAACAAGGGGTGTGTAGGTTTTCATTGGTGCCTGGCAGGCTGACACTTCCTGTGTGAAAGCTGGATAATTCAAGGGCAATTTCGAGAGCACAGGAGATAAAAGAACTCACAGTCTAGAATCCACTTCAAACGCGACATTTTGGAGCAAACTGTAAGTCCATTTCATGTGGTTCTGTACTCCCCAGAAGTCACAACTTCAGTAAGTCAACAGTCAGGTGGCACAGATAACTGCTTGATAAAGTTTCTCCTGTTTGATGGACTGCTGTCTCTACACTCTAATTCCATTCCTTTTTCTCTGAGATACCATAGGGATTAATGAAAAGCTGCTAACTGCTCTTTAAGTGGGTCAAAACTCCCAGTGCTGACATACTTACTCCCTGAGAGTGGCTCTTCATGCACCTCCAAGGGGTCGCTCTCCACTCCATCCAGTGTCTTGCTCACCCCCCGTGGTGAAAGTTCTCCAGCATCTCCCTCTCCGGAGGGTGAGCTGGGCTGCTCGGCGATGGGCACCTCCCCTCTGGGGCCTGAGCTGGGCTCTGGGCTTTGGTTTCCCCCAGCCAGAGCACCGCACATGTCCCCAGTCCCCGGCTTCTCATTCTCCAGTGACGCGTGATCCCCACGTGCGGTTTTTGCATCTCTGGCATCCTCGGTGCTGTTGGCAGTAGACACTGGAGCGCTGCTGCCTGCTGAATTCACAGGGGAATGGTACTGAGGTATAACACCAACGAATTTCAGGCCCTGGCTTGCAGCCTCCTGGATCTGTGAGGCAAACAAAAGGAAGGGAACCAAGTGAATGGAATGGTCTATCAAAGGGACATGTGCAGCGTGCAAAGCACCTCCCCGAGGCCTGCAAGGCTATTTCAGGGGCACGGGAAGATTTCCAAGCTGGCAGGACCCCCATGTCCTCAGGGGCACCTGCCCCCACACCCTAGTCTGAAGACGGTTTTTTTGTTTGTTTGTTTAACTATGTTGTCTGATGGATAAAGCATTTGGCTTTGAAGGGCTGAAATCACCATTTTGAAACACTGCATTCATCCTTATTAACATTTTTTAAAGAGACTGGAAAAAGTTCTAAACAAAGAGTTTGAAAGAGGAAGTTCATTTTGTTAAGAGTTTGTTTTTTTTTTTTTTTGTTACTTTTTTTCGGATGAATCACTGACTTCCTGCTCATCAGACTACTGTATAACTACAGCTTGTCTATATAACCATATACAAACAACAGATGGCATTTTATGGTCCAAAGAGCTTCCTTTTTGGACAATAGTTTTGGCAGAGAAGGGCAGAGGTGAGAAAATCACCCCTGTGCCAAGGCTGTGGGCACATCCTCCCCGAGATGTACCATCTGATGGGCACCTTGCTCCCTGGTGCTCTCAGGCCTAGGGAAGGTCAAAGGAGCCCACAGATCATGCCCAGCCTACAGCCACAGACTGACTCTTGGCTCTCCAAGCCCTGGTCCACACCATCCAGCAGCGAGGTGATGGTTCCTTCTCACTCCCTGTACTAACGGGATGGGGGATGAACACCCACCTGGAGTACCGAGGTACCTGAACTCTCCCTTTCCCTAAAACATAGCCCAAGGCAACTGGATTGAGTATAAGTCATAAGTTTGAAAGAAAAATTGAAAATAATAACCTAATAAAATAAAGCAAGAGCCAGCCAAAGCCAGAAGGTAGACTTTAGGGGACTTTCCAGGCAAGGATGCGTAAGTCATTTTACAAATAAATAAGGCGGTGCAGACCTCAGCGCTGTCTAAGTCTTAGTCACCAAGCCCTAAGCAGATGACCTCAGAAAATCTTGAGGCCTCTGCAGTGATAATCTGCCCTCATTTGAGAGTCAGTTTTGCCAGCATGGAGCTATTCTCTCTAAAGGAGAAGTAGCCCTGACAGCTTTCCTTGGAAGAACCACCCTGACATTCAATGGAAAGTCGTTTTTGTTCCACACTGCACAACCTGCAAAACTGCAGTTGCAAATGTGCAGTCCAGTCTTTCTTTAAATCCTAGCCTGTGCTAGACATAAAATAACAATAGTAGTAATTACTGTCTATGGTATAGACCTACTATGTCTAGACATTGAGCTAGGCATTTTACATAAGTTAAAACAACAAACCGTTTCATCCTTCAATGACGCTGCCTGGTATCACTGTCTCCATTTCAGATGAGGACACTGGGGCCCAGAGACATTAAAGTCATAAAACAAGCAGTGAGCGCAAAGCCGGAGTGCAAAACCAGGTCTGGACTGGGCCAAAGTTCATTCTTTTAATCACAACTCAGTGGACACATGTCAAGGCATCAACTACATACATGTCTACAGGCATGTATGTCTCCACTCATACACTCAGAGGTGGCTCAATTCACTCTTCAAAAGTTAAAAAACAAAACACAAAAAAATCTTAAAGCCATCCATTCCATTCTGAAAATGTCTTTTTTCCCTCCTTAATCTATGATATCCACCTATTTTAAAAATTATTCTATAAAGCTCCTAAAAGAAGGCACAGCAACACAAATTTTAAAAGAAAATAGCGGGGAAATAATTATACCAAAGAACTTTGGAGGCTGAGGAAAGCCACTGTATGCAAAGCATACTTCTGAGCTTTCTGGCAACATACGCCAAAAGAGAAAGGCAATGGGTTTTACAGCCCTCGAATGAAATGAGGAGACACCTGCACTAGCTTCTGCTACTACTCTCTTACTGCAGAGGAAACAGCTATGACTACTGAAGCATTTTAATAACTGCTTCCATGGAGGGCTCAACCATAGGCCAGTCTCAACCAGAGTCATGGAAATAGCATGAAGTTTAAAGGCTTTTGGAAAGGCCTGATGTGGAGCCCCAGATATGTGACTCACTGTCTTGGGGAACCAGAGTAGATTATATAAACTTTCTGTGCCTCAGTTTTCTCACGTATAAAATGAGTGAAAACACACATTTTTCAGTTGCACTGAAGCTTAGTTTAGACATTATATATGGCAAGTGCACCAAAGGCTGGGGCACAAAGACAGGATCTCTAACCTCTCTCCTTATCAGTCCTCAGCTTCTGTGGCCCTGCAGAGACCGCTGTCATCTAGAGTGAAGGGGCGAGGACTCCAGACACAGGACATTATCCCAGCTCTCCCCTTTCTCACTGGGACTGGAGGAATTGGAGAGGCTTGGACACAGACATCTGCCCTTCTCCCACTACAAACCAGACAACCATATTCCTTTGCCATATTGTACTGCAAATTTATCCTCTAGGCCAGGGGTTCTCAAAGTGTGGTCCCCAGACCAGAGCATCAGCATCCCCTGGAAACCTGTTGGAAATGCAAATTCTCAGGCCCCACCATAGACCTATTCAGTCAGAAACTCTGAGGGTGGGATCCAGCAATCTGTGTCTTAAGAAGTCCTCCAAGTGATTCCAATGCAGCCTGATGTTTGAGAATCACTGCTCTAGAATACACATTTCATGAAGGCCAGGGTATTTGGCACTGCTGCATCCCCAGTAATAGAACGATGTCTGACGTATAGCAGGTCCTCAAGAAATATCTGTTGAATGAATGATTTTTGCCTGAAATGAGCTCCTTGAAGGTATGGATGGAGCCATTAATTTTTCAGCTGTAGAATTCAACAAATATTTATTAAGCCCCTACACTGGCCCAGACCAACATGGTGCTTAGGTACCAGGAATGTAAAATAGGATCCCCAATCCTCAAGAAGATTTGGCCAATTATTGTGAACAGACTTTAAAAATAATTACAATATCATGGAACAATTAATGGCTTATAATGACATGTAAAAAGTCAAGATTCTAAACTTCCTAGACTTTATTATGACAACTATGTAATACACATACATAAACTATGCATAAAAACAGTCACCAAAATGAAAACAGCACTGTATTTGGGGAGTGGGGCTATGAGTGATTTTTTTCTATTAGTGTGTAATTTTCAAATTTACCTAAGGGGCATGAATGTTACTTTTAGAAAATACTATAAAAATTCCTCATGGAGGATAATATAGTAATGGATGTGAAGATGTAGAAATGACAGTGACAATGGTGATTATTTCTGCCTGAAGGGGAGGTTGAGAAAAGTCTCTCAGAGTGGATCAGCGATGTAACAAATGACGTGTTGTAACACAAAAGGAAGAGTAAGAAATATGGCAGAACTGGAGCATGTATGCCTCACCTTAAAGTATTCAAATCCAATTTTTTTTCCAAAATGCCATGCTAGACAAAACCTATTTGGGATCTACTCTGCAGAAGGCTTTGAAGGATGAATAAGATTTCACCAGATATGTAAAGGGAAAGGAGAGGGCAATCCATGTAAAGGCAAGGAAGGATCATGATGGGCAAAAGCTTGACAGTATGCAACACCCTGGTGTATTGAGGAAATTTCTAGAAATATTTCTGGAACATGACATGAGAAATCAAGAGGAGCCCCAGAAATGAGACTTGACTAGACATAACAAGAACTGGATCACATATGGCCTTGGATCCATGCCCACAAAGGCTCTGAGTTCACCCTGCAGGCCAGCATATTCGACTCTCCCCCCACCAGTCATAACCTCAAGAGCAGAGGAGAGTGGGAGTCTGAGGAAAACTGCAAGATTTCTTCGAATGCTCATCTTTTACCTTCAACTTCAGTGCAAATTTTGTATCTTATACCATAGTGCTGCCTAGGATCCAAACTTTAAAAACATCAAAGTTAAATGCTGCCTTTATCCTATGCGTTCCAGGGAAATTCACACCCCCAAGAAGAGGAAGCATATTTGTAGCTCTGCTTATTTCTTTCAAATAGATTCCTGGAAGTGAAATTAATGACTGAAGGGATATTAACTTTTCAAAGGCTTGGTAGAGGCTGCCAAATTGTTTACCAGGAAGGGTGAGCAGTCCTTTTTAACTAGACGACCACATTTGGATTTTATGAAGATCAGTATTTGGCTAGACCTAGGGGCCCCGACTCTTATGGTTCTGTCTTACCCTAGTATAGACACTTTCCCCTTTTTCAGAAAGTCATTTGACTGTGTACTTATGGCTAAATTAAATCCTGCTTCTCATTCTTGCATGAGGAACCTTCACTGAGCCAGTCTCACGTTCATCATGGTGGTGGGCATGTGATGTATTCTTCAGGGTTCATCCCCGGCTACCAGCTCTCCTCCACTCTACACTCCCCTTGGTGACTTCCTCCACTCACATGGGTTTAGCTACAAATCAGATGTTCATTATTGCTAAGTGTGAACCCCTAGCCCTGGCTTTCCTTGGAAGATCAGACCTACACAGCAGACAATCACAGCTGATGGGTCCACTGTCGATCTGGTCTCTCCAGCTGGAATCACAGTATCTTCTTCCCTGTTTCTAATCCAGTGTATCTGTTCACCACACCCTACCACAGTTGTCCCCCAATGTTTCTGGAATTACTTCCTCATTCTCCATAAAGTGACCTTCCAAGGTCTTCATGAGCATGGAACCAAATCAACATGGAAGAAGAGATCATGAGGAGCCAGGTCACCTCAGCCACAGAGCTCCCTACAGACTCCCACACATGCCCACAACATCTCTAACAACAGCGATTACAGGAAACAGAAACTATTAACATTGCACAACTCTTCTACAAAGAACTTTCACATGTATTCCCTTAGGCCTCAAAATCATACCTTACAGAAGAGGAAACTGCTTAAGACATTCTGTGACTGGTCAAACCTCACAGAGCTACCCAAAGCCATGCCTGGCTTTCACTCGGAGTATCCTAAGCCCAACCTGATACCACTTCAATGATACATGTCAGCCT